GTTTACTAAAGTTGTTTAGTTTAACTATTGCATCCACCTGAAAGTTCACATAACACAGTGTAATTAAGTAAATTCAACAAATTTGTAAAAATCAGTTATGTTTACTCGCTTTTCTTAAGTAGATTCAGTGATTACTTTTTACAGTGTTGTTGTGGAGGTGGTCAGATGCAAATATCTACTATACGGTGTGACCTCAAAATATGGAGGAAATGGAAAATTTGTAACTTTGGCAGCTTGGGTTTAACAAATGCTCTCTTTGTACGAGGTGTAAAATTGTGAGGTTTAAAACTTACTATATTTTTTATAGTATAATGACCTTATCGGTATATCAACTCATACTCATGTCATAGCCATAGGGGGAAAAACATTCAAATAAGTAAACTGAGACAGAAATCATATTTTGGGTGGACTATTCCTTTAACATGGTTTCTATTTCCAAAACCTTTTGCCACATTGTTTATTATCATCATTTTATTAGCAACGCTGCACATCAAATGAGATACATTTTAATTACGTGTAGTGAAGTTAATAGCAAGAGTACTTAAACTTTTTTCCCTGTCTTTTACAGAACATGTGATGTCAACAAGATTAACTATATGTATGCCCAGTATGTCAAGAACACTATGGAGCCACTGAACATTGCAGATGTCACCAAAGACCAGCGATTTCCATGGACAGTAAGTACTCAGGGGATCGAGTACTTATCGATAGGGGATAGATTGTGGGATTGGCATAGAGTAATCCCACTCTGGGATCCCGATGTTTCTGGGATTTCACAGAGCTTTTATTCATTCAAGACATTCACCTCCCCCATTTTGTGCTATGAACTGCCCCTTTTCCCAAAGCTGCTTTAAACTGATTTTATTTGACCATCTCTTCATTGCATTTCTTTTTAAAAGGGTGAAAATCTACAATCCTCAAACTGTCAAATCAAAAGTCTACTGTGCACTTCAATAAGGAATGGGAAGAAAGACAAAGTGATAGGTATGTGTGTTTTCTATATATCATTTTCCACAATCTGAGCAATCAGTCAAAATTGTTGCTAAAATATTTTATGAACAAATTTTAACATTTTAAAAAGTAATTATTAGTGGTGCTTACTAAAACAAACATATTACAATTGCTCATATGAAAAAAAATCCTTAATCCTAAACTTTGGCACTCAACTCCACACCAATAAATAATACCTCAAATTGTATGGCTTTTTGTAGAGAGATGTGATTCTATTGTGGTTACATTTAAGATTTATACCTGATAGAAAAAAAAAATAATAATTATCATAGACTTACATGGAAGAAGGGATCCAAACCATTTCTAGGGATAAGAATAAAAATGCCTAACAAGCATCCAAGACACCACTAAGATTTTATTCAGAATGCATAAAATGCAGTGCTGCTTGAAAGTTTGTGAACCCTTTAGAATTTTCTATATTTCTGCATAAATTAGGGTGACCATACGTGCCATGTTTGCGTGTGGAGACTGATCGGTGTATGACATCAAAATACCATACAGACGGTTCCTTATGCTTTCAAAATGCTCTCGAGGTACTTTGATGTCAAACACTGATCAATCTGAGCCGCGCTGCTTTTAAGTCAAACACACATCCTATGAATTGCATCGCTTTGACAGTAGAGCCCACCTTCTCACACACACCATGATTGGTCCATTATGTACAATGCCTGCATATTATTGGTCAAACTACTTTTCGATCATTACCTTCAGCAAGCATGAAAAAGCAAAGCCAAAACAAATCCTGGCAAGTCCTGGGAAAATGGCACGTATGGTCACCCTAGCATAAATATAACCCAAAAAATCATCAGATTTTCATGCAAGTCCTGAAAGTTGACAAAGAGAACCCAATCAAACAAATGAGATGAAAATATATACTTTGTCATTTATTTATTCAGGAAAAGGATCCAATATTACATATCTATGAGCAGCAAAAGTATGTGAATTTCTAGGATTAGCTGTTCTTCTAACAAAGAACACTCTAAAAGCAATACATGTAAAAGTCCACTAGGTTTCAAAGGACTGCAGGCTAACTTCTAAGTAACTAAAGGCCTTTCTCACATTGGCTAATATTAATGTTTATGAGCCCATCATCAGGAGAACACTGAACAACCATGGTGTGCATGGCAGTCGCAAGAAGAAAGCCACTGCTCTCCAAAAAGAACATTGTTGCCCATCTGCAGTTTGCTAAAGACCATGTGCACAAGCCAGAGGGATACTGGAGAAATGTTTTGTGGATGGATGAGACCAAAATAGAACATTTTGGTTTAAATGAGAAGCGCTATGTTTGGAGAAAGAAAACACTGCATTCCAGCATAAGAACCTTATCCCATCTGTGAATCATGGTTTGGGCATGTTTTGCTGCATCTGGTCCAGGATGGCTTGCCATCATTGATGGAACAATGAATTCTGAATTATACCAGCAAATTCTGAAGGAAAATGTCAGGACATCTGTCCGAGAACTGAATCTCAAGAGAAAGTGGATCATGCAGCAAGACAATGACCCCAAGCACACAAGTCGTTCTACCAAAGAATGGTTAAAGAAGAACAAAGTTAAAGTTTTGGAATGAGTCAAATTCTGGACCTTAATCCAATTGTAATTTTGTGGAAGGACCTGAAGCAAGCAGTTCATAGGAGGAAACCCACCAGCATCACAGAGCTGAAGTGGTTCTGTACTGAGGAATGGGCTAAAATTCCTACAAGCCGTTGTGCAGGACTGATCAGCAGTTACAAGAAACGTTACTTGTTATTGCTGAAAAAGGGGGTCACACCAGATACTGAAAGCAAAGATTCACATACATTTGCCACTCACAAATATTTAACACCAGATCATTTTTCTCAATAAATAAATGACAAAGTATATTTTTTTGTCTCCTTTGTTTGATTGGATTCTCTTTGTCTACTTTCAGGATTTGTGTGAAAATCTAATTGTTTTGGGTCATATATATGCAGAAATATAGAAAATACTAAAGGGTTCACGAACTTTCAAGCAGCAATGTACAAACTTTCAAGCAGCACTATATAGCTTAAACAGCATACAGTCATGACAAAAAATATCGGCACCCTTGGTAAATATGATCAAAGAAGGCTGTGAAAATTAATCTGTATTGTTAATGCTTTTGATCTTTTATTTAAAAAATTCACAAAAATCTAACCTTTCATTGGATAATAATAATAATTTAAAATGGGGGGAAATATCATTATGAAATAAATGTTTTTCTCTAATACACATTGGCCACAATTAACGGCACCCTTTTATTCAATACTTTTTGAAACCTCCATTTGCCAGTTTAACAGCTCTAAATTTTCTTCTATAATGCCTGATGAGGTTAGAGAACACCTGACAAGAGATCAGAGACAATTCCTTCATCCAGAATCTCTCCAGGCCCTTCAGATTCCCAGCTCCATGATGGTGCTTCTCCTCTTCAGTTCACCACACTCATTTTCTATAGGGTTCAGGTCAGGGAACTGGAATGGCCATAGCAGAAGCTTGGTTTTGTGCTCAGTGACCCATTTTTGTGTTGCTTTTGAGGTTTGTGTTTGGATATTGTACGGTTGGAAGATCCAAACATGGCCCATTATAAGAGGTCTAACAGAGTCAGTCACTTATTGATTTTTTATCTGTTGGTATTTGATAGAATCCATGATGCCATGTCTCTAAACAAGATGTCCAGGACCTCCAGCAGAAATTTAGGCCCACAACATAAAAAATACAGCAGTATATTTCATTGTACACATGGGGTACTTTTTATCCCTGTGTTCACCAAACCCATCTTGAGTGTTTGCTGCTAAAAAGCTAATTTTTTTTTTTCATCTGACCATAGAAGCCAGTCCCATTTGAAGTTCCAGTCGTGTCTGACAACAGAATATGCTGGGGATTGATTTGGTTTTTCTCATTGTGATGGATGATTAAGATAATTTGGGCTTTGTTTTCCCTCCTATTTATATTTCTGTGAAACAGGAAGCCATGGCTGGATAATTTCATGTTAATAATCACCCTGGAGTGCTCAAAATTGTGCATATGAATGGGAATATTCTTCAGAGATACTTCAGAGAATATTCTTCTAGGGGTGCCAATAATTGTGTCCAACGTGTATTTGAGAAAAACATTTATACAACAGTTCATTCTGGTTCTCAAATCTGATTGGTTGAGAACTGTGAGATATTGTACTGGTATCGCAACAGGAACGCCCTTTCAAAATTTTGTATCACTCCGCTTGTTCTAGCCGGGTCTATCATTTTTTTTAATTATTCACTGAGCTAATCGTAGAGTACGTTAGTTAATATAAGAAGAAACGTCTAGCTTCGCGGGCTCTCTCTCTCTCATTTGGATGCATGTCTTGCCGTATTGTTTCTCTCTTTTAACCTCATTATTTCTCACTAATAACCTAACTGAAGCAGCACGTGCCCTTGATACGAATTCTAAAAGTGACGTAAGTTTAACTGTCAACTTGAGCTTTGAATCCGTGGCGGAAGGAAGTAGTTCCGCACAAAAGAGGGTTTTATTAGGCATTCCGTTGTTTCTTGTTTAATTACACACATGTTCCATCGAACTGTTGTTTAAACGCAATATCACTCTCGTACTCGAGCGATACCAGCTCTATATCAGCGGCTGTGATTGCCTCCGGCACTCAGCCTGCGGCCTCGTGCCTCTGGCCTAATCAAAGCCATGCTGGCCATGCTGGCCATGCTGATATAGAGCCGGTATCGCTCGAGTACGAGAGTGATATTTCTAATTTATTTCATAATGATATTTCCCCCCATTTTAAATTCTTATTATCCAATATAATTTTTTTAATAAAAGATCAAAAGGATTAACAATGCAGATTCATTTTCACAGCCTTCTTTGATCATATTTACCAAGGGTGCCGATATTTTTGGCCATGACTGTATATATGATAATAGTGAATTTCAAATCAAAAGGTAATTCTCCTATTTTATAATTTCTCTTGTATTTTTAACTGACATCAAGTTGCTAAACAATGATCCTCATTGTGGTGCTGGTCAAATACAAGTGCACAGTATAAACCCTATAATGAAAGTCTGAATTGATTAGAATAATTTAGGTGGTCATTTTCTTTAGGGTTTGAAGAGTTTATATCTTCTATTGTATGCTCCCTGAGCCATTCAGGTTGAAAATAAAACCAAGGCTTTCTGTTTTTTAATTGATTAATTTATTTATTTTTATCAGTCTCTACACATACAATAGAATTTGATTAAGTTGAGACTCACCTGATAGACCAAGTAGTTAAATCGTGTAATGATCTCTACCTTATTCACCCTCATTTATCCCAAACCCGTATTAATTTATTGCTTTCTTTCATGGATTCAGGAGGTACATTTATAAAGAATCTCCTGGACACTTTTTTTCCATGTAATAAAAGTAAATGGAGAACTGATCTGTCCAAAATGACCACAAAAAAAAGAAAAGTAGAATAGTGACAGAAATTTAATTGTATTTTTTTGGGCAAATATTTACATAATGAAATCATCCCTTTTCAACTTGAATAATGTGTCCACAAAATTATGGACACCATAGTGCTATCTCTCTCTCTCTCTCTCTCTCTCTCTCTCTCTCTCTCTATATATATATATATATATATACAGGTGCATCTCAATAAATTAGAATGTTGTGGAAAAGTTCATTTATTTCAGTAATTCAACTCAAATTGTGAAACTTGTGTATTAAATAAATTCAATGCACACAGACTGAAGTAGTTTAAGTCTTTTGTTCTTTTAATTTTTGGCTCACATTTAACAAAAACCCACCAATTCACTATCTCAACAAATTAGAATATGGTGACATGCGGGTGTCAATGATTGTCTTCTGGACAACTGTCAGATCAGCAGTCTTCCCCATGATTGTGTAGCCTAGTGAACCAAACTGAGAGACCATTTTGAAGGCTCAGGAAACCTTTGCAGGTGTTTTGAGTTGATCATCACAATCAAAAGAACATCAAAATCATCACAATTAAAAGAACCAAAGACTTAAACTACTTCAGTTTGTGTGCATTTAATTTATTTAATACACGAGTTTCACAATTTGAGTTGAATTACTGAAATAAATGAACTTTTCCACAACATTCTAATTTATTGAGATGCACCTGTGTGTGTGTGTATATATATATATATTATTTATATATTTTTTTGGCCTCTGAATGCAGGTGTCTGCCAGTTGGTCAATAAGATGGATGAAGCTTCAGGGGAAGTAAAAGCCTTTAATAGGAACGATGAGCAGTTTCTAGAGGCCTTTGCTATCTTTTGTGGGCTGGGAATCCAGAACACACAGATGTATGAAGCAGTGGAAAGAGCAATGGCCAAGCAAGAGGTCACACTTGAGGTGAGTGTGATTTTATACATTTAACAAATATAAAAAATGCTATAATAAAATAAATTATGGCAGCTAACATCAGCATATTCCCACAGTCAAATATATGTTTTATCATGTTAATTCCCCCCCCCCCCGTTCGAAAATCGGATTGGACTGAAATAATCAGGGACATTGTTTTCATCCAGCCTCATTATTAGTTCATTGTGACTGGTTGGTCACCGAGGGATGTCCTTACTTTGTGGGTGGTATTAATATAGGCTATTCAAGATTGTGACATCACTGGATCTCTGAAAATTGGACAGTTTTCCAACTTAATTTTAATAAACGCTCTTTTTGGACTGAGACAGGACTGAAGACATTTTGAGTTTTAGTTTTTATAATATTTTAAACTCATATTTTAAAAGATGTAGGATTTTTTACTCCCTTTTATCTGCTGCTACACATAGGCTCATGGCTGATACCCTCCCACTCATCTGTTTTCTTTCATCCTACTATTCTGGAGCTGTCACAGTCAGAAGCGCTGGTGGCATGCTGTCTCCTGCAGCTGACACAATGGCTGCACTCCACATCAGGCATTCTCCTTTGTCATAATCCTCACTTCACATCCTCCATCGCCCAGCACTATTTAAAAAAAAGACACAGGTGTTCAAAATTGAAAAATAGTACACAACTAAATGGACCATTGTCACCTGATCTCAATTGTATGTTTTATTCTGAATCCAATTATTATCTCAGAAAAAGGTTTATTTTGAAATTTTTTGTCCTTATCTTTTTTTTATGTAAATGTCAGTTCAGTCAAATCAAATCATGTTCTGGTTATATACAGGATGTTCAGGCAAATGTAGTCCCAAATGCTTACTTAAAATGTGCAATGTCTTTGTAGTATACTTTCTATAAGCTAAACATATTATGCCATTCAGTACATAAACTTTGCAATGCCATTAACATAATGTGGCTGTGTGTGCATTTTACGCAGGTCCTCTCTTATCATGCCTCGGCTGCAGAGGAAGAGACGCGGGCGCTCCAGGTAACTGCGGTAAATTATAATTTCTCATCATATCATATCGAAATGTGCCACCATCATTTTGAATGTGTTATTCAAACAATGATATTGTAAGGATTACTTTTTCCTTAAATATAAATTTATCTGAAATCTGATTGGATGAGCCATGTTTAAAGCCATTGTTACATAGCTGATATACACATACAAGCGTATTATAATATAGTCACAGATATGACTGTCTAGCCAGCTACTTTTTCGAAAGAGTAACATACCTGTATGTGTATCTTTGTAGCTCGACAAGCTGCCGTTTCAAAGTAGTTTGCAGTGGTCGTGCCTATCAATTCCCAAACTCAATGGCTTTATTTTTCAACATTTTTGTCTTGTATCACTTTTAAAATGCTTTGTGTTGTTTTATGAAAACCTCGTATACATGCTAAAATTGCTGTTTTGCAATTTTTATTGCTTCAATTGAGTCTTATTCTACATAGCGTTTGTAAAGAAAACAGGAATTTCCTATCTTCAGACACCCTCAGGGAACTTCCCAGAGAGCACAGATTGCTTGGATACGGCACTCTCAGCTGTCGATATGGAAAACCTGCTCTGATTAGGCCTGTGAGAGTAATCAGGCAATTAAGACATGGACAGAGGCAGAATTTCTGCTTCAATTGAGAGTCATTTATTTGTTAATAACACCAATTACTCTTATGAAGCGAAGGTCAGCATGCAGATTTACCACTGTTTGCGTAATTCATTAGGCATGTAAAAACACCTAAACATATGCTTCATTTTGAGTATGATGGAAAAGAATATTAACCACTAATATGTATCTATTTTATCATTATTAATACCTGAATTGTAGTTAATCATAAAGAGACAAAGCTATATGAAAATTGTTATCTCTGCAGGTGATTGTGGTTTCTGTTTCCCTACTTAAGCACATAAAAACAACAGGAGAGAGGAAGAGAGACATTATTTATGGGCTCTGCATTATGCGATGAACCCTTTTCAGCACGAGAAGACAAATCAAGTGCAGCACAGCTAAATGCTCATCCTGCGCACTGCAAACTATGCTGATCGCAGCTCATTGATTATTTATGCCTGACAGACAGTGATCTCTTTCCTTTCAGTTTGGTTGTCTGTTGAGTGAGTGAATTAGTGTGATTGTTCAGATGTGTGTGTGTGTGTGTGTGTGTGTGTGTGTGTGTGTGTGTGTTTACAGATTAACACAGCTCTGTATGTGAGCAACTGTCTGTTTTTGTGAAAAAAATGTTTTTGAGTTTTAAGGTGCAATGTAAATATCTGCCTGTCCTAACTTCACAGGTGGCTACGATTCCCTCTGCTCAGTCTCTCAAACTGCTGGACTTCAGCTTCAGTGATTTTGACCTGACGGATGCTGAGACGACACAAGCAACCATCCGCATGTTAGTTTCTGTAGAGAGAGAGTTAGTGTGAATGTTCATATGTGTGTGTGTGTGTGTGTGTGTGTGTGTGTGTGTGTGTGTGTTTACAGATTAACACAGCTCTGTATGTGAGCAACTGTCTGTTTTTGTGAAAAAAATGTTTTTGAGTTTTAAGGTGCAATGTAAATATCTGCCTGTCCTAACTTCACAGGTGGCTACGATTCCCTCTGCTCAGTCTCTCAAACTGCTGGACTTCAGCTTCAGTGATTTTGACCTGACGGATGCTGAGACGACACAAGCAACCATCCGCATGTTTGTGGACCTCAAGCTTGTGCAGAATTTTCAGATGAAGTACAAGGTACCTGCTTAGACTCTGTTGTTAAGTTAGTTCATTTACCATTTGCCATTGATTTTATTTGTTAGTAGTTGTGCTATATATTATTCCTTATTCCTGGGGTTAGGTGTTTGTACAAACCCATAAGCCTCATTACTACACTAAAACTCTTAACTCGTCCCATATGTTTGTCTTGAATAATATGTCAAATCATGTTTTAATGTGGGGAGGTGTGCTATTTCTTTTCTAAGTGATCAGACTTACTATTTTCACTGGATGATAAAATGGATGAAAAACAGATGAATAGACTTACACTGAAAATCAACAGCCATATTTAGAGACCCAAATGTCAAAGAGACTTGGGCATTGAGGATGAGCTCATTTGACCTGGGTCAAGTAGAAACCACCTAGAAAGCACCCATAACGCTCTAACGACTGCGTTATGCACTAAATAACCCCTCTGAACACCTTAACAACTTGGCAACCACTGACAAAAGCATTATGTCATGGTGCATCTCTTCAGAAAAAAAACACACCTGTGAACTTGTTACATTAGTATTACTGTTTCATTGTGCTTATTTTTATAAACCCTTGCCAGATTTAATTTAAAAAAAAATTCACTCTGACAATGTTAGTAAATTTCACAAATAATTACAAAGAAACTAACATGTTGATTTAAACATGCAATTTTTAATTTTCTTGTAAAAATCTAATCTAGTAATCTATGCTTTATTTTCAACTTCAAAAAAATATTTTTTTATACATGTTTTTTTAATAAACATATGTAATAACTATGTTTTAGAGCACCTAACTCTGCACACTTAGAACACTTAATTCTGCTCCACATCATGCCTAACAATGCCCTTAGCTGTTCTAAAATCACTGCAAAACACTGATTAAGCCATGACACCTTAGCAACCACATAACACTGCTAAAATCCAATCAGAGAACCTTAGCAATCACATTACATAGCCACCATGCTCTGGAAACTACCCACAACACCTGAGTTTTCTTCTATACTTAAAGGGATAATCACTTTAAATTTGGGTGGAATAGCCCTTAAACATATTTTCTTCAGAAAAAAAATAAAAATAAAAAAGCTTAAACAAAATAGGTGTTATACACGGTGCAAAAAAATATTTTTTTTTCTCGCATTGTTTTGCACATTTTTTATTTTTTTTTAATTGACGATAACAGTATAGCTGAAGAGTTTTGTAATTTTGCAGCCAAAAGTTGAACAAAAGCAATCTGTTTGCTCAACTATAAATACAGTATCTCACAGAAGTGAACACTCACCCCTCACATTTTTGTAAATATTTTATTATATCTTTTCATGTGACAACACTGAAGAAATGACACTTTGCTACAATGTAAAGTAGTGAGTGTACAGCTTGTATAACAGTGTAAATTTGCTGTCCCTCAAAATAACTCAACACACAGTCATTAATGTCTAAACTGCTGGCCACAAAAGTGAGTACACCCCTAAGTGAAAATGTCCAAATTGGGCCCAATCAGCCATTTTCTCTCCCAAGGTAAAAGCTTAAAAAATTACAATGGTGGTATCACTGATGCATTCATTTTATGGAGAATGAAACTTGAAAATATCTTGAGCTTGTGTTAACCATAGACATTATTTGGGGAATTTAACCAAAAACCTTGACATTGGGACAATGGAATTGAAAGTGCAAAAATTCAATTTTAATATATATATACTGTATATATATTCATCTCTGCAGCACTCTATTTGATTCTATAAAAATAACTATTAACCTTGTTCCAGAGTTTGTGTCAGTGGATCTTAAGTGTAAAGAAGAACTACAGGAAGAATGTGGTCTACCACAACTGGCGACATGCCTTCAACACCTCCCAGTGCATGTTTGCTGTGCTGAAGTCTGGTCGGTTTCAGGTCAGTGGCTCTGATAACAAACACCACACAGGCAAGGGTCACATCAGCACTGTGGCGTCTGGCGTACAGCTTCAACTTGAGTTCAGTCCAGAATAGCACAAATCAGTAACCATACTGACACCTATTAACACATAGCGAGTCTGTCTGTCTTGTAACTAGGATATAAGCTTGCTGATCTTCATATTAAGGTGTGCAATTATGGATTCGAGACTGCTAGCACAAGTACAGTATACAGAGTAGTAATGATTAAAAACAATTATTAAAAATATTATGTAGTAATATTTGTAGTAATTGCTCTTTTGAAAATGTCGAAAAGCTTCAGGCTGTTTCCTTTTTATAGTGAAACCAGTTTATAATGATAAGCAAAAATATGAAACTAGCAGAACACTTTTATTATGCGTTCCACTATAAATGTCTTCTGTTGTTTACAGTGGTAGTTAATAATTTGCATTTATATACTTGCTTTCTTTGAATAGTCTATGAAGAACAGCGTGTTGAGTCAACTTGTTACAATTATTCACAATCACAAATTATTGTGAATTATTTGTAGTACTGATGTTTTATGAATTATGAATTGAGAACGCTCCGGTAACTATCGTAACCTCGGTTCCCTGAGAGCGGGAATGAGACATCACGGAGATATTTCTCCGTTATGGGATCTCCTTCCCTTCCAACCTTTCCTGAAGTCCTATTAGCTCCTGCCAGTCCAAATGACTGGCCAATTGACGCAAAGTATGCAAATCGCATGCAAATACTGACGAGCTCGAGCGGCAGTATAAAATGCGGTGCACGCGACAATTACGTCAGAATCTGATACTGAACGCAGCTTTAGCTGATCGAGTAGCGAACACGGCGACCACCGTGATGTCTCGTTCCCGCTCTCAGGGAACCGAGGTTACGATAGTAACCGGAGCGTTCCCTCTCGAGCTTTCACGAGACATCACGGAGATATTTCTCCATTATGGGAACGATATTCAATCCCGCTGTGAGAGAGGCTATGAGCAGCCTGTACAAGTTACACACTCAGTGAAGATAGAACACACACAATTCCCAACCAATAGCGACGCTTGTTAGGCGGGCTCGCAGCTGATAGGTGGAGATAAGCCAATGAGCGTCTAATGCCCAGGCATACGAAATTTGCATATCTGGTCATTAATAACGTCGGCTGCGCTGAGAACAGGGCAGAAGCAACAACATTACTGTCAGGGGCTGCACAGAGATAGCGGTGTTAAACAGCATAACACATAACATGATAATCGAGGCAGCAACACACGAATAGAGGTAGCATAAACGTGAATCAGTCACTCACCGACAGCACTCGGGAGGCTAAGGACTGTACGTCCAGCTTGTAAAACCTGGCGAAGGTATTCTGGGTAGACCAGCCGGCTGCAAAGCATATATCTTGAATAGACATACCTCTCGACCACGCCCAGGAGGAGGCGATAGCTCTTGTTGAGTGGGCCCGGCCCTTCGCACAACCACCGTAGCACACGAAAAGCTGGTCAGATTGCCGAAAGTTGGCCGAACGGTCAATGTAAATCCTCAAAGCCCTGACGGGGCACACCGAAGTCTGAGCGTCCGCATCACGCGAGGTCGATGACTCAGAAGACAGGGCAGACAGCGAAACAGTCTGCGCTCTGAAGGGGGTAGATAGTGATTTAGGCACGTAGCCCAGCCTCGGCCGGAGAGTGACGCTGCAGTCACCGGGTCCAAAGCTGCCCTCGCACACTGCTCCCCAGCCGCGAGTCGATGTGTCCGTCGTGACCACAACGTGTGACGTCGCCAAGCCCAGGGGAACTTCCTGGCTGAAGAGATCTGGGTTGCGCCACGGCCTCAGAGCTTCGACGCAGCCGCGGGAGACCGCGATGCGCAAACGACCCAAAGTCCACACCGTCCAAGGGGCTCGAGATTTCAACCATAATTGCAGGGGGCGCATGTGTAGTAAGCCCAGATAACATACCGCTGCAGCAGACGCCATGAGCCCCAGCAGCTTCTGAAATTCCTTCAAGTGAACAGAGCTGCCCAGTCTGAAATGGCGCAGGGAAGACAAAATAGCCGCCGAGCGCTCCCGAGAGAGGCGGGCTCTCATCTCCACCGAGTCGAAGCACACTCCCAGATATGTTATAGACCGACTCGGGGCG